AGCAGACATAAAAAACTAAGGGAACCCCTAAGCACTCACCAATCTGCCGATCTGGATTCAATATGTACCATAAACATGAGCACTCAGGTCACTTGTGGACGAGGACATCCCGCTCGCTTTGCACATGGAGCCTTTTCTCTCCCTCTTCCTTCTCCTCCCTCCTCAGTGTGCATGCTCACGAATGCTCAGGACAAGGCGGGGTCTTAGTCATGTGAATGGAGCATTGAGGTGGCACCCTGAATTAGAAGTGGGTTGCACACTCACTGTACCTGTATTATACCGTGAGACAGCTGCACATGCCACACTGTCCCATGATATGTACACCCAGGGGCGGACTGACCATTTGGAAACCCGGGCACTGCCCGACGGCCCGGGGTCAGTAGGGGGCCCCATGAGATGCCCCTGCTACCTTTTTCATAGGCTTTTTTGAGTTTGGGCAAGGACACAGGGGCCCCATGATCTCCAATTGCCCGGGGGCCCCATGAGTTGTCAGTTCGCCCCTGTGTACACCTGTGTTTAGAATGTGACATTTTGAAGGAGATACTGCTGAGCATATGTCCTGTTCCACAAGTCCAGCTTTCCTATCACCTCATTCCCAGTGATAGAATACAGGTTCCACCATGATACCGCATGAACCCCCTGTGTGCACGACCTAACTTGGTTAACTCCTTCAGTACCAGTGGCTAGGTCCCTAAGGTCTGAGCCATGCAGATTCGGTCCTGGGGCACTGACCACTTGGGAGGGAAACAGCACACCAATCCCCTCACTATGCAGAGAACCCATCACCCTTCCCTGTACCATACTCCTACTTTCTGGCTGCCATATCATTGCCTTGTGTTGATTTCTTTTAAAGCGGAGTTCCACCTAAAAAAAAAAAAATAAAGGTCAGCAGCTACAGAAACTGTAGCTGTTGACTTTTAAAATACAGCCACTTACCTGTCCCTCAGTCCAGCAGTGTCTTCACCACCGCTGATTTCAACAACCATCTTCTCTCCCTGGCATCTTTAGTGTGGGCACCCGGCTGTGACAGCTTGCAGCTTCACAGCTGGATGCCCACTGCGCATGTGCGAGAAGCGCTGCTCTTTGTGAATGGCTCCGTAGTCATCTGGGACCTGTCATGTATCCCAGAAGACTACAGGGAGGGAGGACAACTTCCGCTTCCGATCGCCTAGGTGATCGCAGAGGAAGTGGGAGCAGGTACCTGTCAAATTTGGGTACACGCTCCCCAAAGGTGCCAATCCTTAATGAGGAGCTGGGGACAAAGGCTTAAAGCGGAACTTCCCCTTATGGGTGGAGCTCCGCTTTAACAACTACATGTGCTCCTCTTCACATCGTGTGTGTATGTAGCAGGCCCTGTTCTTTGTAATGCGCCATATGCCATAATTCACCCTAACTTTAGACCAGGCATGAAACTGTTCATGGAACTTTTCTGAGCATTCTCATCAGAACAGTCCAACAGTGCAATAACAGTCTTCACCTAACTAACTTAACATAGGCAGCACAATGCATACTTTCCAAGGTAAGAGTCCATAGTGTGTCCTGGTTCCAGGGGATCTCCCCAAAAGGTGCTGAGAATGTTGCTGAGGGTTACATCTTTCTGTTGTGCCTCTCTTCTCCCTCTCATACAGGCTACAGTTCTGTGTTCTGAGTAGAGCCCTCACCCTTTTTATTAGTACAGGGTGGAGGGCAGAGCCTAGAAAGCCTGGGAAATTACAGCACCTGGCTTAACCCATTCCCACCTTGGCAGCCTAAATAACTGCTTAGTGCAATCACAGCGATGACATGAACACAGGAATTTTGCAGCGCAAGCAGGGATTAAAATACACACAGACACCTTGAAATCACCTATTTACACACTGAAGAGTTCATCTATCCTATGGGGAGAAGGAGAAAAAAGAGGAAGCTTGGAGCAGACACACCACTGGTGCCAGGGTAGCACTAGTGAACAGACAAGGGCCTTTAACCTGTCTGATCACTATTTCCTTGATTGCTGTTGGATGTTGGTTTCTGCTCAGTCTCCATTAAAATGAGATTGTGGTCAACTTGTCATATACTAATGCTCAACTAAAATCAAATGACACATTTCATCATAGAATTACAGGCAGGCAAAGAAAATGACATTTATTTGTTACATATATATGGACAGATATATTTACTTCAGGCTTTTTTAATGTGAATTACATTGACAATGAATTTGTAATATACATACATGCACGGAACAATAACCCAGCTGACAGATTCTGTTAGCACTTAAATATGTATTATATTCAATTACTTAGATAGTATTGGTTGCATGGAAAGACTATTGTTTTTTAATTAGATTATTACAGTATCACTCGCTTTCTGCTCATTGTTCGCAGTGTATTATTTTCAGATGACTTGTCATAGATTTCTCTGCAGGTTTCTAGTTGCCCACTAATTCTAATGAATTCAGCAAGTTAACTGTCACTGCTGTCTGTGCAGAAACCTGAAGCTCACCTTCTTTTTTTGGGTAATATTTTTTTTGGATTCCATTTTTTTATGACAGATTATTAAAGCTGAAGTTTAATTTGCTTATATATAGTTTCCCTTGTTCCTCCCTCTTTCATCATTGACATGGCTATTACATTTTAAAGTATAACTAAAAGCAAAACCTTATTTAGGCCCCTTTCACACAGGCATTCTGTATATCCGTTTTTCATCTGTCCATTTATATATGAGAAACGGATACCCATGTATTCCTATGGACTAGCGGATGTAAATGGATGATCATCTGTTTACATCCATTAATGTCTGCATCCGTTAACATCCCTTTTTTGAACGGAAGAAAACCCTATTTTTCTTCCATTAAAAAAATGGAACGGATGAAAAACTGATGTAAATGGATGCAAACTTAAGAAAAATGGATGTAAATGGACAAAAATGGATGTAAACAGACAAAAAAAACATACAGTCCATTTTTGCATTGGTAATGGATGCAAAAAAATGGATGTAAACTGATGAAAACCAGATGTAAACTGATGAAAAACAGATTTTTCTTCCATAAAACAAAACGAGACACATGGAAAACAGATGTAAACAGACGATAAATGTATATAAATGGACATAAACAGATGAAAAATTGATGTAAACAGATGTAAACGAACAAAAACAGATGTAAACTGATGAAAAACGAAATAAAATGGACATAATAGAATAGATAGACGAAAAATGGATGTAAATGGACATACTGTCCATTTTTGCATTGATGAAAGACTGACGTAAACTGATGAAAAACTGATGTGAACTGGTGAACTGTTGAAAAACTGATTTTTCTTCCATAAAAATAAATGTAACACATGAAAAACAGATGCAAGCGGATGACAAACGGATGTAAACTGATGAAAAATTTATGTAAACAGACAAAACAGATGAAAACAGATGAAAAACTAATGTAAACTGATGAAAAATTTATGTAAACGGACAAACTGATGTAGGGGGCAGGCTAGGGACAGTAAGGCCAGAAAGGAAAGTGCTGGGTGATGCTGGATGACCTCAAGCCAGAAAATGAGATGGGTTCTATCTAACTCAGTGCAGACAGTCTGCAGTGAAATTAGAGTAAGAATTTTCAGTACGAAAAAATTTTATTTCGCCAGATGAACTGGATATCGTGGGCACCACATTCTATGAAAATGTAAAAACACCAAACTTTGTTTTGAAATATAAGGAGGTGCCAAAAAAGGACATAGACAATCTCTATAAACATTCAAATTTTTATTTCAAAGAAATGCAATTTAAAAGACAACAGTAGTTTTTGTGGTTGTTCTTTATTAAACCACCAGAAAGGTCCATGTAGCTCAAGAACATCCATACTGTACAGCAGTTTCAACTCAACATGTTTCGCCAATCATTGCCTTCCTCAGAAGAACAGATTACTGCATAGGATTGCCATTAAAAATGAAAAAACAAATATACATAAATACATTATATATAAACATATAATGATACATCTAATATTAACACAACTACATATAATATTTTTTACAATGGCTCTTCAATGGCCATCTCGCCAGGAATGCTCAAAGCCAAAGTAGAACTTTTTTTTTTTTAAGTTAAAAGATCCAAGCACCCACATGACCACCTAAAGGGGGGACTAGCACCCTATAAGAGGGACACAATCTGTGGAAAGATCCCTAGACAAAATAATATTTATCACCAAGGGTGGAACGACAAGCATATACAGATTGATAGTTCTGCTGTCTAAGGCATAGCTAATTGAATCATCTTATATTGTGGGAGCAATTATAGGGAGTCTACCAGCTTCACAGCGGTTTAGGAAATCCCCTATAGTAACAAAGAATATGAATAATAAGGACAGGGAGAAAGCCCATTGTCACTATCAAGAGTATTCACAACATAGATAAGCTTCAAGCATTGCGGAGTTCAAATATGTCACTTACCTAACATACAAACTTGGTGTTAAATAGGCCAGAACCATCCCAAGCAGCCAAGGCCACAGCATGTCAGAGCAAACATACAAAGGGTTTCCCAGCAACACTTACCAGCCAGCCTGCAAAACAACCAATTTGGCCTTAGTCTAACAGTTTGCGTTAAAAGCAGAGCGTTTTGTTTGCACACATTTGCAAATACATGCGTAAGCCACAGTCCTGCGTTAAGGGTCCTTTGTATACTGTGGCCCTAACTAAAATTTCCAGAGTCTCCATAGTAGGAGCACATGTTTCAATGGATAGGTTAAGTGCAGGTGTGCCTGGAGGAGCCCATCCCCCCTTACAGGTACAGGACGCTCGTGATGTCCAACTATACCAAAATGACAGCAAAGGCATCCAGTACGTCCCTGCATCCAAATTAGCCAACAACACAAAAAATATCAACCGTCCCAACCTATAACCAGCCTTAACATAGGCCAGAACCATCCCTGGCAGCCAAGGCCAAAGCATGTCAGCACAAACAAACAAAGGATTTCCCAGCAACACTTACCTGCCAGCCTGCAAAACAACCAGTTTGGCCCTGTCTAACAGGTTGCTTTAAAAACAGAGGGGTTTGTTTGCACACATTTACAAATACATGCGTAAGCCACAGTCCCACATCAAGGGTCCTCTGTAGCCCAATGTCACTATCAAAAGTATTCACCAACATAGATATACATCAAGCTCCAAGCCAGGGGCGGACTGACCATTTGGAAACTCGGGGACTGCCCGGGGTCAGTAGGGGGCCCCATGAGATGCCCCTGGTACCTTTTTCAAAGGCTTTTTTGAGTTTGGGCAAGGACACAGGTGCCCCATGATCCCCTATTGCCCAGGGGCCCCATGAGTTGTCAGTCTGCCCCTGCTCCAAGCATTGCAGAGTTCAAATCTGTCTACCTAGCATATAAACTCGGTGTTAAATAGACCAGAACCATCCCTGGCAGCCAGGGCCATAGCATGTCAGCCACCACATGGCTGATTTTATGTCTCCCCCATTCCACCAGTGGGGTCAGTAGGGGGCCCCATAGATGCCCCTGGTACCTTTTTCAAAGGCTTTTTTGAGTTTGGGCAAGGACACAGGTGCCCCATGATCCCCTATTGCCCAGGGGCCCCATGAGTTGTCAGTCCACCCCTGCTCCAAGCATTGCAGAGTTCAAATCTGTCGCTTACCTAGCATATAAACTCGGTGTTAAATAGACCAGAACCATCGCTGGCAGCCAGGGCCATAGGATGTCAGCCACCACATGGCTGATTTTATGTCTCCCCCATTCCACCAGCGTCTGACGTCACAGATGGGGTGCGGACGCCCAAAACAAACCATGCGCACAGCTGCCCACCGATAGTGACATCATACGCATGCATGACGACACTCCTGCGCCAACGTGGAAGGTCTCCCTGCCCAAACAAAGGTTCGGAGTGGGCCCTCCACAGGCAACCACAGCCTTCCCACATGGTATGGTCGATGGCTGCAGACACATCAGGGGTTGCGAGGATAAAGCTCTGGATGGAAATGGGAGGGGACACCATTGCAGGGGTCATCAAAGTGCCGCACCAGAGGGGGAACATGCCAGCACCGCTAGGGTCAGCAACCCAAGCAGCCAGCCCCTACCCCAAGGGCGCCCGATGGTCGCTAATCCACCCAAAGGAGGCCAGAAAAAAGGAGCAGGTGCACATAATAAAAAATATCAATAAAAATATTAATAAAATAATAAGTATTTTCAGCACAGGTGAAGAGCCTCTACAACTATTAGTAAATATAAGCTTTTACAGCTTATAATATCTTATCCTGACACCACAAGGTTTTGATAATTCGACTATTAGGTACATCACACACAACAGTGCCTGAAAAGGTAGTAGTTTTTTAACTTGACAAAGTATAGATAACGTTTTACCATTGAACCTGTCAGTAACCAAGCTTCTGTGCATTTTTCTACTAAGGGTTACAGATTTAAAGCCCATCCGTGGACAAAGGTCTCTCATCTCCAATTCCTCCATTCTATCTCTTCTCATCCATTCAGCAGCTTTAAAAAACAAATTACTTTGATGCTTTTTATTTTACTCCCCTAACTCTGCCATCCAGGTCATGCGCTGGCACCGACAAATCATCTTTGTGACATCATTACTCTGCTATTGGAAAGTGTCCTTGTCACCGTAATGTGGACACCCAAAAAAGAATCCTCTTCCTTTACAGTAAAAAAGGTTTAGAAAGGTTAAAAGATTTTTCTTTTTAAAGTCGACCATACTGTACATGGTTTGAAATGTGGCCAGTTCAGCAGGGACTGGCCATATTCCGATCCATGTATGGGCACCCTGGATGTACACAAGTCAATCTGTCAATTGGTTTGTGTACAATCAGCCTAGCTTTTTTTTTTCCTGAACGTTTAGTGCCACCTGCTATAGCCAGCAACACTAATCATTCTGTTCTGCTGGCAGGGAAGGCTCCCCACTGGCTGAACACAATAGCGCTGCGGAAAGGATTCCCCCATCAACACTGAATGTGTTGATGGGGTCACCAAGCAATTTTCTTTCTTTCCACTCAAGGTGAAAGGAAAGAAAATTGAATAAATCATGGCATGCCTAACTTATTTTGTGGTTAGCGGAGGTGAGTGTTCTGCTCAATGTCCGCTTTAAATAAAAGTCACAATTAGTAAATAATTGTCAAAAAAACTTGTAATAAGTAGTTTTGGTGATCTCCTCCAAATTCAGTTGACTGACTATTGTACTGAACCTCTAGGTCCAATACTTCTTGAGTTCAGGAACAACCATACAGATAAGTCACAAAAATACCGAAGTCTTTATCTTCTTTATTATTCTGGTTTAGTAACTAGAAGTTAAACACTAGAAAAACACTGAGGCAACCACAGTAGTACCTTCAGAAGAGGTCAACATACCTCAAAAGAGTTAATTGGTCTAGTACTAATTATATGACTATATGGGTACACATATTTATAAAGCAGTGAATCTGACATTCACCAAACAACCACTGCAGGGGAATCTTCTAGGTGTTTTCAATGACAGTGATTAATTCATCACCAGTGAATAATGGCTGAATGTCACACTTTTTTTGTTTGTAATTCCTTTACAATCTATGTGCCAGTAGCCTGAGAGCGATTGTTACTGGGTTAAGTTAATTACGCAATTAACCCTTCAAACTCCAAACTGCCAACAGATAGCTTCACAATGTTAGCAAGAACAAATGTGAACAATAAATGTCTGTAACCACAAACAAGTATGTTCAGAGGATTACTATATACAGTAGCACTCTTCAAGAGAAAGGAATTCTTTAGTTTGCATTAAAAGCTTTAAAGACAGTTTCAACACTTTTCAAAATAGGGTTTATTACTAAAAAGGTCAAAATGGTGCAATTTAAATATTTACAGAAAGGAATGTTACAAAGACATAAAGAGAACAATAAAGCAACAGAGAAATAAAAGAAAGGAGTTAAGAAGGCGGAATACTTGCAACGTCCTGGTATTAGCAGCATCCAATTGTCCAAGTAAAAACGTTGCCTTGGCTCTCAAGTCCATTAAGATGTTCCTTGATTGATGTTAAACGAGAGCTCAATCTTAACAAGTCCTGTCAGTCCCTTTTCCATGATATCAAGGGGTGTGGACAGAGACCAACTGACCAATAATCCGGTTTAAGGGATGGGTGCAGGTAGGTCACCAGATTTATGACCAATTCCCAAATGCAGTTTGGCACTAATATTAATAACCTCCAATACGTGCAGTTGGTATTCTAGCAACTGGCAGATTAATATTCAGAATTATATTTTGAACCAGGGATACCAAACACAGCGTACCTTTGTCACCCAGGAGGGAAGGGACAGCTTTCTCCCCTTTCTTATGTGCTAACATATTCATGTATGACCTTGATTTGTTCGGTATAATATATCCCTATTCAAATATATACCTAATATTAATGTGCCCTGTTCCTGTTGAATTCTTTGAATTGTATGTGGAATTGTTACATGTGGAATAGACGATTTATGGCATGCTCTGCATTCCTAGAACCTTAATGGCCTTACAGGTCATGTGTGACTGCTTGACTGAGTTATTATTGTTTTATGATAGGGCAGAGGAAAGTGTTTTCCATGGTTAGTGGAAACAGACATCCTGCCAAGACTAATTAACTGCTTTACAGGTGGAAACCAGACCTAGGCTCTGGCGTCTATTGTGTTTTAATTAAGATAAGAGGCTCTTTTGAAGTCTGTTAAAAACAGCTAAAAATTCCATAGCTTTCAGGAGAAGGGAGGGGAGGAAGATCATGGCTCATGAAAAACAAAATGCTGAGACCTTAACAAGATGGGTGTTGTGTACAACTTCCATGTCTCTATTGCACACAATCGTTACACAGAGAACTAAAAACAAAGAGGGGGAAAACTTGGCTATGAGTTGCGGAAAAAAAATATGGTGGTCTAACTGGTAAGGGACCAGTTGTCCCTAGGAGGGAGTTAAATAGAGTGAAGAAAGCAAAGTATCAGGGTCAAAGTAGGAGAGAGGGAAAAGGAGAAAGATGGGAAGACTGAGACAGGATTAGAGGGAGAGGTTAAGGGGAGGAAGAAGGGAAGACACGGTCCCTCTCTCCTGAGAGACTTAAGAGAAGTACGGAATCACAAAGGGGTGGAAAGCTTTTTGAGATAGGCGTCAGTGTACACAAAATAGTTCCAGGGTCTTCAAGTTTCTGTGAACCCCTCCTCCATCTTGTGCAAAGTAGCTGTAAGGTCTTCCATGTCCCAAAATTGTTAACTCTAGCAAACCAGAGAGCTTTTTTAGGAGGAATAAACATCTCTCCAGCGGAGTGGGATTACAGTCCTTCGCAGCATTTGAAAGCTGCATCATAAGAGATGTCTTGTATTTTTTTATAGATTTCTCCATCAGGTGCAACAAGCAGGCTGCTGGGTTGTCATGCAAGTCTACAGTGGTGAGTTGTTTAATGATACCAGTCACCTCTTGCCAAAACGTCTAGATTTTCGGACAGGTCCAAAAAATGTTGAGCATGGCCCCCCTTTCGTGCCACAGTGCCAACACGAGCTGGGTACCTGTAGAGAGATTCAATGAAGCATGGTGGGGACCCTGTACCATCTGGTGAGGATTTTGTAGCTAGTCTCTTGAACCCTGGTGATGATTTTTGGGGAAAATAAAGAATTTTCAATCTCTGATTAGGAGTGAAATGGAAGCCGGGATCAGATTCCCATTTGGTGACAAAGGAGGGCACAAATCCTCCTTCTGTGTGAATCAGGGAGGCATACATAATGGATAGCGAGTGTGGTACCTGATACTCTTTATGGCACATGGACTCGAAATCCATAAGTGGTCGAGAAATACTCAGAGAGCGCTGACAAAGAAAATTGCAAAGTTAAAGTCCACCTCAGAAGTCCAGGGGAGGGTCGGCGAGGTGGGTAAGATCTGTAGGGATCAGGGCATCCCTCTAAAGTTAAAAAGTCTGAAAAGTGAGTGTAGCCTTGAGTTTTTAGACAATGGAATTGCACATTGTGACCAGGAGTAAATTTGGGATTGCCCAGGATGGGAATCATAGGCGTGGGAAGCAAAGCGACTGTGGAGCTATGGAATATCACTCGCGAGACCTGAAGAGTACTACTAAGGGTAGGATGTGCACAAAGCTCTCCGGGCAGAGGAAAGGCAATCTGAGGCCAACTCATGCTGTGCCCTGAGAGTCTTCGAATTCCATGGCAACCCAGTGCATAGTCTTACTGTGGCAGTGCCAGTTGATTAGCCTGGTAAGATGGGTCACCTGATAGTAAGCACAAATATCTGGAAGGGCTACTCCCCCAGAAGACTTAAGTAGGGATAAGTTGTGTAATGCCAGACATGGTTTCTTGTGGGACCAGGCAAAATTCTGGAACCAAAAACTAATGTTCTGGAAAAAGAGAGGAGGAAGTTGTATAGGAAGGGCTTGTGTCAAATACAGGACTCGGGGAAGCACTGTCATTTTGAGTGCTCTGCATCGACCAAACCACGTCAAGGTTAATGAGTGTCAATGCAATAATTATCCTTTGAGCTTGAGGAGAAGCGGCTTGAAATTTGCAGCATAAAACTTGGACAGATCAAGTGTAATGTTCGTGCCAAGATACCTGATTGCATTGGTTGCCCATTTAAAAGAAAAGGAGAGACGATGAATTGTGCCAGGGTCCACAGAAATGTAGAGGGTGGAAGACTTTGCAAAGTTAATTTAAAGTGGGACAAAGCTCTGTAAACCCTGAGAGCCTGTAAATGACTT